CCAGCAGACCAACCCCTGCCTATGGACAAGGACAGCTCCGACCCCCCTCCCCGGCATGTCCCCGGGAAGGGCGGAGTCCGTCACTCTTCCAAATCCCGCTCTAGGCGGCCGCCCAATCCAGGACGGCAACCTAGACAACACTCTGCCTCCCCCGCAAAGAGGAGTCAGAGTGCTTCTTATAAGCCAGGGCCTTTGTGCTCCAAATATAAAAAGACATAATGGCGGTCCTGCAATGGAATGTCGGCGGAATCCAACCTTCCATTGCAGAATTGCAACACTTACGGGCCACACTGTGCCCACTTGTGGCCTGTGTACAAGAAACAAAATTAGCCCCGGCTTCAACCATAGACTTAAAAGGATTTACTGCGTATCAGCACATTCACACGGAGAACCAGATTGCTTCCGGTGGTACCACCATCTACACAGACAAATACTTCTTTGGACGACCCTTTAGGCTATTGCCGTATGGGTCACCCTGCACAGACCAATCACGATCTGCTCAGTTTATATCCCACCAAATTACCCCCTCAAAATAACCCAACTAAACAACTTAAAGGCCCAGCTTCCAAAACCATTTACTTTGCTAGGTGATTTTAATGCACACAGCCCCCTTTGGGGAGCCAATTCTTCAGACCAGAAAGGAAAAATAATAGAAGATTTTTTATTTCAAAATAACATATGCCTCTTAAATGATAGGTCCCCAATTATAGAAACAGATCCACTTTTGGCACTTCATCCCTTGACCTCACCTTTTGTACCCCTGACCTAGTCCCAGATTTTGAGTGGTCTGTGCTGGTTGGCCGTACGGACCATTTCCAAATTCTTCTCAAATACAATAGCCTCCTAAACGACCCGATCCCAGAACGCTTCAACTTCAAATGAGCACACTGCCGCTGAATGTTCCCAGATTCTGAATCCCACTTTCGACCTCAACTACAAAAAATTCCACGAAAAGCTTTAAGAAATAGGCCCCAAACACATACTAAAAACAGAAACGAAACCCCGGAAGAACAAGATCTGGTTCTCTGAGGACTGTGATGATGCAGTAAAGAAAAAGACGGCAGCATATTGAAAGGCCGTCGACAACACCACCACAGAAAACAAGATAAATTATTTAAAGGCTCGAGCTGATGCACGTAGATGCCTCAAGGAGAGCAAAAGACAATTACAGTCATTCAAAAAATATATCTCCAAAATCAACAGCCAAACACCACTCAACCAAGTTTTCAAAATCGCTAAAAAATGCATAGTTAGACACACAGACACCATCCGGCACGCCCAGAGGCCGGATGGAACCACAGCTGAATCACAGGTAGACATCGCAAATACAATAACTACATCTCTCTCCAAAAACTCATCCAAAGCAAACTACAACACCACCTTCCAAAACATCAAAACTAACAGAAAACAACAACACCTAAACTTCCACTCAAACAACACTGAAACCTACAGCGCAGACTTCACATTAGATGAACTAACATCGTGCATCTCGGACCTGGACAATACAGCCCCGGGTCCGGATGACATCCACAACCAGATCATTAGACACTTACCCACAAAAATTGAAAGTGTTATAGCATCCGGAGTGGGACGGGGACTCAAAACACCTCCTTTTGTACAGCTCCCTTGTCCGATCCAGGCTTGACTACGGCTGTCAAGTCTATGTATCGGCAAAACCACACATCCTAAAAATGCTAGACCCAGTGCAAAACCAAGGATTCCGCTTCGCTCTGGGGGCTTTCCGCACTTCTCCAGTGGAGAGCCTCCAGGCCGAGGCAAACATACCATCACTCGCACTCAGACGCACACAACTCTCTCTACAATACACAATTAAACAGAGCTTAACACCAGAGAACCCAGCATACAACTGCATTTTCAAAACAAACCCAGACACCATAAACCAATTCAAAAACAACGAAAAACTCATCAGACCCTTCGGCCTCAAGAGTCCTTGAGGACCTCAAAAACATACACTTTTCCAAACAAGACATCCAACAATTTCTTTTCCCCGAGCTCCCTCCATGGCACCTCACCAAGGCAAAAGTAGAGTTACAGCTGACCACACACAACAAAGCAAGCGTAAAAACACCAAAACATTTAATTAAAGCAGAATACAAAAAAACTTATAGAAAAATATCCCGATGCGGAGCTAATCTTCACAGATGGCTCCAAATCGGACTCTGCTGTGGGGGCCGCAGCCCTATCTTCAAACAATACACACCAGAGGAGACTCCATCCCGAAGCCTCCATTTTCTTTGCGGCCACTGCCATTGACATGGCACTGGACTCTGTAGAAAATTCTCCTAACAAATCTTTCCTTATCCTTTCTGTCTCTCTGTCTTGCATCATTTCACTTACAAATTACACACTCTTACACCCAAAAATAGTTAGGTTACAACAAAAAAATACACGCCTTGACTGAGACTGGGAAAAGTGTCGTATTTGCATGGCTACCTAGCCATGTGGGCATCCAAGGAAACGAGCAAGTAGACCTCCAGGCGAAGGAATCCTTGTCCCTTCTGTTGGGATCAACGACGAACACTCTCCCACAGACTGACTTTAAGAATAAAGTAAAAATCTACACCTCCAGTCTGTGGGAGACTGATTGGAAAAATAAAATAAACAATAAATTACTCAACACCAAGCCCGAACTGGGTCCACAAAAACCTTCGGGCCTCTCCTGAAGAGACGAAATCATTTTTACTTGATTACGCATTGACACATGACCCTGACACATAAATACCTCCTTCAGGGAGATGAGAAGCCGTTCTGTGTCGGATGCAGCAGCACAGATTTTACCATTTGGCACATTTAAACAGAATGTCTGGACTTCGGAGAGACCCGAAGGAAATATCTTAGGTGCTAAGAATTGAAAGATCTGTTTCCCTTCGTTGATCCCAACAGAATCCTAGATTTTATAAAGGCCTTTGGCCTTTACGACAAATTGTGAATAAAATTGCTATAAAATTTTCTAAGTTATTTAAAAACTAAGAACTTATGTACCTCAAGTTTTTAACATTTTAAAATTTGATTGTTGACCCGAGCCCAACCGTGCAGTGAACTGTTGTAAATGCAGTCCACTTGTGTTTCGCGTGCTCATATGACCTTATGCAGTTGCGAGCGCCGTAAAACTCCTACAAAATTTTAATTCATTGATCTAGCTCTGCTGCAGCACTTAGGTCTAGAATCTGAATGAGATGTTTGAAACATGAAAGAAGATTGGTGGCTGTTATTCTACAGCCTCCGTCGCTGAGTTAGCTAAATCTTAATAAAGTATATTTTATCATCTTTTCTCGGCACTCAAGGTGTCAGCTAGTTCTAATGCACCATTTACTCTCTGTGCCCTGAACTGTAATCTTGAAAACATCTTTTTCTCAATCCTTTATTCCTCAGTTGAAACTGTGAGAACAAATTTGCTTCGCGGTTTGGATGTATACGGCTTTGTTTCCTTGTTAAAAAATTCAGGTAGGCTATTTGTACCCTCTGCGTTTGTCCTGGATATGTGCATGATGTTGAAGTATTTTGAGAGCCTTTATTTTAATTAATTTGTTATAGACTGCTGTTTGTACATAGGGCAATGCTACTGACTGAAGTGACTTGGGGCTCTTCCGAAAGGGAGGATATTAACATGTTCTTATGCACAGTAGAATTGTAAATGGGTTGATTTATCAATGTCATGTTCATACTGTGCCGTAACTACATAGATGGATTACTGCTTTTTCTTTTCTCATCCTTACTATCATCATTTTTCGTCTACGTCTTTTGTATGTTTGTCACTCTCTTGTGAACTGCTATTTCTGTGGTACCTTGATAGTCGAAGAAGACAATGTGCTGTTGAGGCTAGAGAGGTGAGTAGAGAAAGCCTGATTCCCCATTTGGACTGCTCTGTTGACATCAACCCCTTGGCGCTCATATGACCGTAGGCAATTGCGAGCGCCGTAAAAACCTTACTAAAACAAATAAAACGAAGTAGAGCTCAATTAATAATAGGTGTTACTTTAAAAAACAAGTTTATTTCCTCTTACAAAAGTCATCCATAAGACAAAAAAAATGTGTAGCAAAAGTTACATCAAAGGGGAATGAATCTTTAGACATATGGATCTATTGGTGTAATCTTAAAGCCTGTTCATTTTCCTTTCTTTTGAAGAAGAAATTATCCATCTAGCTTGAATAGAAGTCAAGATATTTGTCATTGAAGGAGATGTGGTCGCTTAGTGTCAGAGGTAAAATTAGCGAGAAAATGGCTGTTAAAGTTTTGTGAATTACAAACCATAGTGTCCGTGGAAATTTGCAAATTTACATTTTTTTAAATGCATTTGATCTGTTTTTCTGTAAAATCCGTGCAGGAAAATTATTTAATATGGACATAAAATTTTAACTCTAAGCAATAAATTGATAAAAATTGCCTGATGCTGGGAAAATATTAGGGGGGTTTTTTCTTTCGATTTTATTATTTTTACGAGCGCCTGGCTTCACCACGATGCAGCCCCTATTTTTATCCATGGAATGCAGCCTTTTTTAGAATGTGGTGTTTTGGAAGTACTTTTTCACTAAAATTAAAATATTTCCTGTATACTGAAGTAAGTTCTTATGCAATAATAAAGAAGGCATGGAACCACCAACATACTTTCGCCCAAAATAACACGACAAGACTAGTGTTGAATAAAAAGAAGAAAAATCCTGCATAAAAAAATGTTAAAAGATCTGATTTCGAGTTGAAAAAAGAATCCAATATTGAGTTCCCTCCATCTGTTATAAATGCCTTAACTATAATACTCCGTCATGTCTGTCTGTATTTTTTTAACGCCATGTGTTCTATCCCATCACTTGTGGTCATTCATTCACTGACGCAACAAAATTCAAAGTTCCTAGAATTTAATTAACTGATTCCGTCCATTCGGCCGCTGACAGCGGCTCTGAGTTTTTCCGCTGCCTCCATTCGACCGCTGTGAGCGGCTCAACGAAATCCGAAACAAAGGTGCACTTTTTAACATAGTTCCTACTTTTTAAGTTGTCGAAAGGAAGTAGAACTTGTAAACAAACCTGACCTCAATCTCTGAGCGCCAATATCGATCGAAACTCCGCAAAATTCTTGCAAAAATCGTTGTTTTGTTGTTGCGATGTAGGCTAGATCCAAGGGTAAACAACACGGAACCTGGTATAATAAAAAGGCTCTTCAAAGAAAGATATTCAACTAAATTTGTGAAATTCTTGCATAAATGTGTGCTAGGGTGATATCGCTACAATGTTGTGTTGATTCCTATGGATTATAAGGACTTGTAGAGCTGAAAAAATGCGGTAAGTCGACATTTTCGAAGAGCTGTTGCGCAAATTTTTTTTCTCATTCATTTTTGTCAGAAGGAAAATGTAATACAAACAGATTATAGGTCATTGTTATTGATATAAACAGATTTTTCTATTTATTCCCATCAGTTTGGTATATGACAATACCTATTAGAGTGACTTAGAGCTTCACAGTTATGCATTAAATAGATGCACCCCAGGTCTAAGACTGAGCAGGGAAAAATAACTCTGTCCAGAGCCTGAAAAAATCATGGACGGAATCAGTTAAGATGTTTGGGGGAAAGAAATTTTTTCATTTTTTGACCCTAAAACTTGGAACTCCTTGCCTCAGGACCTCGGAACCAAGTTGTGTTGGCATGGCTGTTGTCTCGGTGGTCGAACACCGGAGTGCCCAACTAAAGTCATTTATTTCCTTCACAGAAGAGGTTAGATCGGGGCCTGGTCATCAACTAAAGAACTGATTTCAGTGGGATTTTCACAGCCATGTCCAAGGCTGATATGTTTCTTCTGAAGTGATATCAAAAGCATGTCTTTTGTTTCAGTGTCTTACCGAGGGTGACATGGCTACATAGTGAATGTCAAGTTTTTACCAGTTCAGTGAAAATGTTGTCTTGATTTATTTGAGAACATGTGTTGAACAGATTTTGTCAGAGTACTAATGATATGTATTGCTTCTCTCTTTGGTTTGCGTAGTTGCAGTTGTGTCCACCTGTGCATCTTCTCCATTTAGAACGGCACCATCGAATCCGCCCGTCCATGCCTTTTGCCATTCTTCAGTATGCTGCAAGTGTATCAATCCGGAGACTGTGAGAGCAACAGCAGATGCCTTGTGCTCACAGGGAGAGGTGAGACACATTTTGGTGTTAGCCATCTTCAAAGTCAAGCAGTGAATTCTCAAGGGATTGGAGGGGTTTTATTTTGGTTAGGGGTGGGGATGCAGGGCAGATTTTGTCCTTTCTACCCTTAATGTTGCGAGTGTATTATTGCAACTCAATCAACTGTAGTTTTGTCAGTCGGGTGAGGAGGGGGCGGAGTGTTGTCCTGTATTACCTGTATTACCTGTCCTGGGCAACAACGTCATTGCACACCGGACAGGTCCATAAGTGCTCAGTTCCCCCCAGCACCAAAGCCCGCAAGGTATCCATACTGATTGTGTTCTGGTGGCTGTCTGATTATGGCGACGTCTTTCCTTTCCAGATAACCGTTCCTTTCTTCCTTCTCCCCTCTCTATCCCCTTTTCCCGCATCCTAATGATTGCGTGGTGTTCTGCTGTCTCCTTGTCTTCTTCATCCCGCCACTTTTTCTCCAGGGTCTTCAACACTTCTCCGTTGTCAAATTTCACCTCACCATCAGCCACGGCACTGCCTGCCAGCCTATCAGCCTCCTCATTGCCTTTCACTCCAGAGTGCCCAGGACAGAATATCCACGTGATGGCTCTAAGTGAAGAGTGTTGTATTGGGTTCATTCATTCACTCCGAAGAAGCCCTTTCTCAACCCTTCGCAAGATGCTCTGGGAATCTGTGACAATGATGAGATGAGTTGTTCTTGGTCTTGTATTATGAAGCCATCCAAGCGCTCTTGTTACGGCCTCAATCTCCATTTTCATGCTTGAAGTTGTTTTTTCTATGGCCCCAGACATGCCATGAACCTTTTTGTTCCCACTGTACACCACAAAACCCCATCCACTTCTCTCACCCCTCCTGAGTGATCCATCCGTATAGATCACAGGGTCCACTGGCTTGGAATGCTCCTCAATTAACTGCCATATATCGTTGTCGTTAATGACAGCAGCACATTCCCGTCTTTCACGACCCATAGTGATGTGAACATTGGCCAGGCTTCTGCAATCGGGGCTCAGTTCAAACCACTCCTGTCTTCCTTAACCCATTGACAATGCTGTTTTGGTGCTCTTTAAAAAAAAGAAAAAAGATAACTTCCTCATTCATACCAATTTTTCAGTTCAATTTTTTTGTTGTCTGAACTATAAAAAGACTGGCGACAAAATTTGTGTTTCTGATTTATGTGTGAAGGTTCAAAATGTGCTGCAAAATTGTTTTTGGTTTGCAGTTGATCGGCCCTGTGTATCTGCTACATCCTGAAAGAATTAATTTTTGTGGGTGTGTGATTGTCACTATAGTTTCCATCTGCTGCTGCTATTTCTATATTGTGTTCCTATAATTTTATTTTAATCCTTCGACTTGAGAATGCTGAGCTTGAAACTTCCATCAACTACCTTTACCTTCTCGTTGTGATTATTCCGACATCGCTCTTGTGTTTTCTGACTTTGTATTAATTGTCTCTGAATGAATAGGAATCAAAGTCCTATCTAATACAAAACAATTTGTGAATGAAAATAAATCAAAATCTTACCTTAATTCAAAACACTCTGTCAATGAAAAACAAATCAAAATCATACTCTATTTCAAAACACTTTGTTAGTGAAAATGAATTACGATTCTACCCTAATTCAAAACACTTTTTGGAATGAAAACAATTGAAAACCCTACCTTGATTTAACTCTCTCGAGTTCCCATCTACTTTGTGAGAAAATTGTGTTGATTCACGACCTCTTCAGATCTTTGCCCTGGTGTGAGTAAGTCTTGTACCATACCCAGGCTTATTATGTGTCTGTGTAAAGGAAATTGAATATAGAATACAGTAAAATGACAACAATTAATTTTTTTAACGTCTGCTTTGAGTGGTGACCTACTTTATCTGTTACTAAAAATAGATTGTGCACTCAATTTTACATGAAACTGACAAACATAAAGAGGGGGGGGGGTATGATCAGATTGACCCAAAATTTATTGATATTGTAAAAGAATGTCCATTTCTGCTAATGAGAGACAAAGAATGAATAATTTTGGACCCACATGAACACTTTGGTGGCATATGGAAAATTTAATGTATTTTGGTGTTACGGAAAATTGAATTTTCACAAAATTCTCTGATTACTCCCATTGTACCAAGATTAGGCTATGACATTTCTGCAAAAACATTCAAATCACATTATTTGACAATAAAAGAATAGAATTCATCATCTAAAAGGTTTATAAACCAACTGTGTTGCTAGAAAAATTAAAACTTGAGTTGAAAAATAGAGACGAAAACGTATGTGCATATTTTTCCACCCAGAGTATGTCATTGAATACAAAGACATCACTCATACTTATTAACTGGATGATCTAAAAGAAGACAGTTTCTTGTGCTACTAAAACAGAAGTTTTTTCCACACTTGTCACATTTGACACTAGACTTTCTCTCAACTTTCACAAGACGATAACAATGAAGACAATTTCTGCGCTAGAGATGGACGAGCCTCTTTCATTGCAGCAAGGTAGGCCTACTCGTAGGTGTATGTACAGATCTGCAACACAAATGCCCCCTTTCGAAAGAGTGAAGAAAGCACCTGTTGGAAAATAGATACACAAGAAAGAATTGTTGATAAAAGCCATCTATGATAAGAGATATTTATATGATAAGATAAATTTGATGGATCCACGAGAGAGATTTTGGGTGATAGCAGTACATCAACATATAAAATTCAGCAATAACACAGCAAAGTACACATTACAAATTATACTACGCACGCAGCAATGCACCTTTCAATCGCACAAACGTACACACACAGTACATCTGTGGGGGATGAACTTTTCTCTCCGTCTCGCTCACTCTTTTACCCTCTCTTCCTCTTATGCAAGAGCAGACACACACACATACACATACACACAAACTCTCTCACATACACACACACACACACACACAATGTTCAACAGTGCAACAGTTTATTTTGAACATAACAGACATCCCAATTTGTCAGTAAATTCTTGTTACTACTCAAGTAAATGAACTGTCCAGCAAAGCATATGAATTGTTTCATTATTTGAGAAAAATAGCCTGAGCATTAGCAATATCTACTGATTTTTTATAGTTTTGTTGTAAAAAATAATGATTATAAAAATGCAAATCGACTGGGGAAAAAATTCACCTGGTGTCAGATATTTCCACATCTTGTTAAATTTGTCCGGTCTTCATCGAGATGTAAGCCTGGCCGCAGCGTCGGCTTGAACTTGGGTACCTTGCATCGTCCACATCACGTTACGAACAAATGAAGTCACCCCTGTCGGAAAATGCACAGGAACAAGGCATGTTAGAACAAGTCCAGCAATACTTTTTTTTTCACCAGTCCAATCATACCACTCTCCAATTGTCAGACTCAGTTTACAAAAATGACAACTCGCAACTCACCTGAGCTGAGGCCACATAGATCTAAATATATTATTCCCTTGTTCACATAAAAATTAAAAACTGATGATACATTTAAATTGAAACAAATAATAACAAACTGCAGTAGATAGCAAATGTTATCATTCAGTTGTAATGTTGTAAACTAAGAGAATTGTCTCAGGATCTGCCGTTTTGGACGTAAACAAGCAGCTAGCAACCGCACCTTGGGTACAAAAAAAAAGCCTAAAAAATAATGAAAAAGTATACACCAAATTTTAATCATTTATACAATAAAACACACGTTTTAATACCCCCCCCCCCCGGCCAATATTAGGTTTCGCTGTTCATTTTATGCTCAGTGCAATCATCGCTTACCTGTTGGCTGCACCACTTGGTCCTGGTTGAGGACCTGCTACGTCATTTTCAGACTCTTCATTTGATTCAGAATCTCTGTCGCCGATAGAAAACTCACTAAATGAGCCATCCAGACCATAATCGGGGTCAGAATCGGACATTTTACTGGAAAACTTGTTCATTTTTGTGAAGACAGTCGAACAGCTGTTTTTTGTTTACAAAATGAAGGCGAGGGAAACGAAAGTAGTCGGGAAATTGAGGTCATTATCGGGGCACCTCTAACGGCTAACTCTTTTTAAAAAAAGAGTTACAAATTGTGTATTTATAAAAGTTTAGCCATTCCTTTACCGAAATAAACCACATAGCAGACTATAGGCAAATTATTATAGCAACAGCCGGCTTCGCTCTGGGCCCACCGGCGATCGACCGAAGCATGAACTTGAGAGCGTTAAAACACTGTAAATGACAATAAATCAAAATCCTACCCTACTTCAACGCACTTTGGGAATGAAAACCAATCAAAATCTACCCTGATTCAAAACACATTGTCAATGAAAAACAGATTAAACTTCTACCTTAATTCAAAACTCCCTGTGGATGTAAATGAAAACAAAAATCTGTACATCAATTCAAACACTCCGTTAATAATGACAAATCAAATTCCAACCTCAATTCAAAACTGAATGATAACGAATCAAATTTCTACCTTAATTTAAAACTCACTTTGAAAGCGAATCAAAATCCTTCCCAGTGGACGGTTGGTGGGTGCTCTGGTGTGGTTTGCTTATCAAATATCTATCGTCCTTATCTCCCCTTCTTCTTTTTTATGTTTGTTACGCTCTTGTAACACCGCTTTTCTTCTGGGGCTCATATGACCTTATGCAGTTGCGAGCGCCATAAAACCTCTACTAAAACTATAAAACATGTATCATCCATGTCTCTCTTTCTTTTCTTTGTTACTCTCCAGTGACAATTTCTAATCTTTGGCTCGTACATAACCTATTTGTGTTGCAACTGCAGTAAAACTCACTAAAACTAAACTTAAAATCCTACCCTAATTCCAAATATGTTTTCAGATCATGAGACGTAACTGTGTGGATCAGCGAGCGACCCTGGAATCCTTTTATGCCGCTATGTGCACAGCTTGCCAGCTGAAAACTCATCAGAGAAAAGAAGTACAAGGGGAAGTTGTCAAGACCGGTATCCAATTGAAGCACTGCTCACAGCTGAAGAAGCTAACATTGTCTCCCACAGGCCGGCTAGCAGAGTATTGTCTCCACTGCTTAATTATCCGCTCTCCTGTTATGTGCAAACGTGATTTGAAGAAACTGCTGGACACTATTGTGGTAGATTGCGGGAACGCTACGCATTTGGAATACGGCAGTGTCACCTTTGCTTATGCACAAATGCTGGCCGTGGCCATGAAGTACGTGGAAGAAGGCCAAAAATGGTCTGAGGAATTTATACCACAGTGGATTGCAGAGGAAGAGTTTGTCATTTTCAAAAATCTTATATTGGAACTTAAAAGCTGGAAATTTCACTGGGATCTGGAGAGGAAAATGAAACTTACGTTTGCTGATAACGAAGAGGAGAGAATAGCAGATACTCATCCTTCTACTCCAAGGAAAAAGTCTGCAGACTCTTCTGGGGGGATAGGAAGATGCGTTGTTGGAAAGAAAGGGAGACCAGCAGTGAGGAAAAAAATCTCTAGCTCTGTAAGGAAAATGGTCTCTAAGAAGCAAGTGCCGGAGAGTGATGGAAATAAGATTTCAGAAGATGAACCTGAAGGAGGCAACGGTTCAAGAGCTGAGAGCTGTAATCTACTCTCTTCAGTTTACGATGCAGACAACATCGGTAGAGATTCTCCCGTTATGGAAAAGAAAAGACGACTTGGACTTGAAAATGCACGTCAAGTTCCTCTTAAGACCACTCCAATCAGCAGAAAGACAAAATGTGGTAGCCGGAAGAAAGAAAATTTGGGTAAAAGCAGTCCAACTGTAGAAAATGGCGTCAGCTTGTCTCCTTTGTCACAGCAGCTAGATGAGAATCAGTTTGCCACTGATCTTAGCTCAGATCAAGTCCCCATCGTCAGACCTCAGCGCAGGAGGGGAAGACCCAAAGCCAATTCTACAGAGGGCAGCAAAGCTTCAGGCACTTCTGCCATGTCAGTGCTGAAGCAGCATAAAGAGCTGATGCAAAGACTGAAGAATGATGCAGGTTCTGGTGAGGAAGAAGGGAGTGTAAAAACAAAAACTTCTGAGAGAAAAGCAAAACCGGGGGCAAGTAAAAGAACCAGCTCCCGTAGGTGTGGAAAAGTGTCAGAATTGCCTGTCTCTGAGCCTCAGGAGGTCAACTTGAGTAGTGATGTGAAGGTGATTAAGAAATCAGATACAGGGGAAGGGGAGGAAAACATCATCCCTGGAACGCCTGAACCTAAAAGTCCAGCGGTGAAGAGAGGGAGACGGAAAGGTGTAGTTAAAGAAAAAGACGAGACAGGTTCTGCTGCTGCTCCAGTTGTGAAGTTAAGTGTGAGAGCACGGGGAAGGCCGAGAAAAGCAGCAAAGGCGAGCGAGTCACCAGAGACAAACAGGGAAAGAGGAGAGGAAGAAAAGAGCTTTGATGAATGTCTAGTAGACGATTCTATGGACAATTTAGAAGCCAGTGTTTGTCAGGATAGTTTCATTGAAGAAAAAAGTACTGAGTTTGATTTTGAATATCTGACAAGTGTTGATAACCCGGAAGAAACTGAGTCTTCTTGCGTACAGAGTGACAGCTTTCTAACTGTCCACATGGCAAATAGCTCTAGTGTTATTTCTAGGGAGTTGCCTGTACCACTGGAAGAGGATTTCAAAGGTCTATCTCCAGAGATTCTAAGAGGAAGACCCCAGAGGAGAAAGCTGATCACTAATGCAGTGGATGGGAAGAAAAGAGAGGATAATGATGGAGAATCAAGAGAGATTAGCAGAGGCAGGGTCAATCCACCTAAAGACGAGTCCAATCAGAGGCCTGGGCACAGTGGTGAGAGTGCAAAATCTGAAGCCAGTAAGCCAGAGAGTGGTGAAGATAAAGAAGAGGCAGAGAAAGAAAGCATGTCTGGCACCAATAACAAGAATCTTGCCAGTAAGTCGAAGCTGTCAGTTAGAAAACCAGGAGATGGTAACCTTAAGAAGGCAGACGGGACAGAGAAGGATCCCACAGAGAGCAAAATGGATGAGCAGACCGGTGCTGAAGGTAGAAAGGAGAAAGCCGACAGAAGAAAAAAGATGAATAGCACCACTCGTGTGGACCTTTCACCCGAGAGAAATCCCGTAGGCGGTCTCTCCGAGCAGTTAAACGAAATGAAAATAGAGACAGACAAAAGAGACCACAATGGCGAGAGGTCAAGCAGTCGTGCACACCACACCCTCAGAAATGAGTGTCCTGAAGAGAGTGGGTCTGTCATAAGTCTGACTCTTGGTGAATTTCTCCTCAAAAATCCAAATTTTTGTGAGGAATGTGTAAAGGCTTATGATGAGGTAACAATTGCCGTTTTCAATGTTCAACTGTCGGAACTGGGGATTAACAAGTTCCAGGAAATGGAAGACGAGGAATCATTGCCTATGAGGTTCAGCTCTCTCCACTTGGCAGGGAATGGTGAGTACAAGGCAACCACCCTTTGTCGAGGAGAAAGTAGCCATCTTAGACAGTTTGATATCTTGGGCTGTGTCATTTTAATATATAGAGAAGGGCAAGGGGAAGTGGTTGATTGTACAAGTGATTGTCTTGGACAAGCGGTCGTTGGAAAAGTTTCAACAGTAGCTACGCTCTCACTGTCATTGCTTTGATGACACTTCATGTTTTCTTCTATTTCTTTTTCGAAAGAGAAGAAGCACTGCACAGATAGCGTTGGTGACTGAAATGGGGAAAATAGTTTTGTTTGATTCCAAATTGTTTGAGCTTGAAATGTAAACAAAAAGATGGTCTAATTGATATATTTTCAATGAGAGGGCTTCCTTTCAACATTTAAACTCAGGCTTTCTTCTCAGAAGGGTGAGCCACAGGGGCAAGTTCTTGGTCGTTCTCATATATTCTATTTTTCATAACTTACTGCATACCTGCCAACCAGTATGTTAAACAAACTCATTTGATACGTCTTTGAGGGACTGAGCACTGAAGCCCATTTTTGCATCAGAAAATATGTATTCTCTGTTATTTAATATTTCTCTTCATGGGCTTGCCAATGATGTCTTACAATGAATACTTCTTTCTATTGGGTTTGTAAAGTTTTTTTATTCACCCATTTGAAAACAAACAAACTATTGTTTTGGTACACTTCCATCCATTTTTTTTGTCCCTATGATGCTTTTAAATGCTCAAAATGCGGCATGCTCTTCTCTGCTCTGCTGGAATTGGTATCATTGGCCACAACAGAGCCACAAGTCATCTTATTCCTTATTTCTTCAGTTTTACTTGAGAAAGATTTTGCTCTGCAGATGCGGTGGTCAACGTCGGACATTAACGAACAATAACAAGCTATTATGATTACTTCATTGCCATAAATTCAAAATATTTGGGTGATCTTAATGCTAGTTTGTTTTTTGTTTTTCTTGACACAGATGATGACAGGTTTGAGACACTGCAAAAAGCTTTCGATCAACTGAAGCATCTCCCTCCGTGCTACTTGTATACTCAGATATGCCAGGGAATGGCTATGTGTCTGTGGGAGAATGACCTCCATAGGTGGAGCAATGCTGAGCCGATGGACACATGTATTGATGCCAGTAGGTCATCACAAAAACAAGTAGCCATAGCTGCTTATCTCACTGAGTCCCTCGCCATCTCCTACAGGCACCAAATGAACAGGAATCTGCGGTCTAAGCTCAAGTAAGCCCATTGATTCTCTCCACACACCACCCGGGCTTCATGTCATGCCGCCAGCAAGCCGTTCAATTGTTCTAAGCCCAGAAAATAAAGTATTTTTCAGAAATTTTACTACTTTTTTTCATCATATGTTATTTGAAATTCGATAAAATATTTTTCAAGCACATGCAACCAGTACCACAGATTAAGAAACTGCATTAAAAATTGTTGTGGATTTTGGGCTTAATGCATCTGAACTAAATTGTGAAAAATGCCAAAAGAGATATGTGAGACATCGTGATGGAATCAGGGGCACGTCAAAATAATGAAATCAAAGAAACTGGCTTTTTTTCTAACTGTTTGGGCAATTTTTTATTTAAAAAAAAAATTTTTTGGGGGGGGGGGCTCAACACCTTTTATGTCAAATTAAAAACTCACTTCTGTGTTTACTGAAAAACATTGATTAAAGGCACAAAGATGGTAAATTTTCAGTTTCCAAGGATTCTCTAGCTATGGAAGTCACCAGACTTTGGGGGCCATTTTCTCGCCTATTTTACCCCTGAAACCAGGCGACCCCCACCTCCTTCAGTCTATTCATGATTGATGAGAATTTTTTTGTACCAAAAGTAAGACAAATGAACAAGCTATAAAATCACACCAATAACTCGACATTTTAACAAATTGACGAGCGCCTGATTGTGATTCCAACCATGTGGTGACACATATAATAGGAACAATTGTTAAAAGAGTAAAACAGTATTTTCTCTCTACCCCTTTTGAAGCCCCCATCCACCCCACCCTTCTTTTATGTACCTCTTTTGTTTTGTCTTGACAGCTGGCGTTTGTGATCCATCATGAAGCATTAGCGGAAAGCTACAGAAAAAAGAAATGGTTTCAATATATGGTGTTCTGTTTCTCCAGGAAAATGAGTGCGACTCCAGCAGCCCCCAGTCAGCCTGGCGGTGTCCCACAGAGCAACAGCGACTGGGACAACCTGGGCTCAGACTTGGCCGCTGAAGCAGAGAGGATGAGTCGTGCAGTAAATGCCCTCAAGTTTTCCGGCGATCCAGAACATGAACTGATGGACCGGCTCAAAGCCCTCCCTGCCGACTGGACCGTTGTTCAGATCAGTCAGGTGAACTTTGACCCCTTCGAACCTGACTGGGGCCAAGTCCTGGTGACTAGAATGACCTCTGACCTTCAGCCAGTCACAGTTGGTGTCCCTATGTTGAGGATGAAGTACTTACGGTCTTGTCTGAACATGCTTAAGGAAGTCTTGAAGGGTATAGCGGACCCTGAAACCGCATCGTGTGCCTTGTGGGACAAGAGGTTAGTCCTGTGTTCTCGTGGCTGCCTTATGTTATGGTTCCCTTTTTTCATTTTTAAGTGCTGTAAGTCCTTAATGGAGTAGGTAGGAGGGGGTCGCTATAAAGGATTTGATCCTCTTGCCTATCTAGGTGCAAAGAATTTGTAGTATTTTAAAAATAATAAGCAGTGAATTCTGCTGAAATCTGTGGGGCAGCCAGATTTTCTTTGGTTCCGAGAAATTGCTCAAATAACGAAGGGGGGAACAAAATCAGGGATTTACTTTTGGTTTACTGTTGTTTTCGGATTAACCATGTTTGGTTTAAGCGAACTCTGTTATGTCTGCCAGTTTATTCTTAAAAATGTGTACTATCCTGATGTTTTCCCATCCTCTATTCCACTTCTCTCAGTAAGCCATTCTTGGTCTACCTATGTCTCTTTTGATTGTCATTTACTTAGGCTGTTTTGATTTTCCTGTGTGTGCAGACGTAAGTTGAATGACTACATGATCGCCATGGTGCCAGTCCTCGAGGAGAAGTTTATGGAAGGTCATAAGTGGTTGCTGCAAGGCCAACCCCTGTGGATAAGACAGTCAGAAGCTGAGGGAGAGCTGGACGAGGCAGCTGAGATTGCCGTGAAAGCCGTGAAGGAGCTGCACAAGGTTACTGTGGAGTTCGGCACTGTTAGGGTGAGTGTGAGGTGTCGACAGGGCTGCCTAAATCTACCGATTTTTTCGGTAAGACATGTCAACAAAATCCAATATGGCCACCGTATCCATGGAAACAAATTTTTTTCTCAAAATTGATTGCGGATTTTAAGACTCCTTACTATTCTTGTTATATGTCTGCAATTTGGTAAAAATTGGTCCAGAAATAAGCGGATAGCCTTCAGGTGTAGCGCGCCCGCCGCGCCCCCCCCCCCCCCCCCCCCCCCTCTAAAGTGGCGTAATGTAAGAATTCAGGTGTACATGTGCTGAGATGTGATGTGGTTATCTCAAAATATTTGTGAACTTTGATAGTGGATTTTCACACTTTCGCACTATGTGCATATTATTGTCATTGATTGAGCTGTGATAGTTTGAATGCTTCCTTAAGTGTTTGCGTTTATCTAAAGAGTGTATGTATACATGTTCATTCACTTGTGTTTAATGTCCAGATGGAAGTATTGTAATGGGTTTGGAGCTGTATTGCATGGGAGTGAGCGCTATAGAAATTGCCAACATAGTCATTATTATTATAAAATTAGTATTATCATTGTTATTATTATATATTCAAACTTCCTTGATTGTCATCAGGCTTTGCTGCCCGTCCTGATGAAGGCCAACTCTTCGGATATTGCCTCTCTCCTGCTATGCCTGTGGCCTCCACCTGTGACCCAGACTCTGATCTACCATGTGCTGGCCTTGCAAAAAAATATGCAGCCCTTCATGATGAGATGTCAGTCAGAGATGGGTGACCTTCCTTCAGGTCCTGTCGTGCTGGTCTTGGACAAGGTGAGGGAATCAGCAGGACATTCACTGACCAACTATTGTCCCTTTGTATCCTGGAAATTATGTAAAAAGCATAGATGCCATTTTCCCGGGTTTTCCCTATTATATCTTGAGGGGGGAGGGGGGGTTCACTAGAAAAGCAGTTTTTGCTCTATGCATTTGTTTTGTGTTTAATCACACGTTTGTTGTTTACTGACTTTCTTTTTGTTTGCAAATGCAAAGTATACTTGATGTTGTTTTCGTCTTTCGTCATTTATTGGTGGCTGGAGAAGGGGTCTTCTGTCTCTCATATTTCCACAGAGATTGTTTTGAATTTTCATCACCATGCTGATTGAACCTGAATGAATGAACCTTAATTATTAGTGCAAGCACTTAAAGGCTACTTTTTTTCCCCATCAGAAATTCCAAATTCACAGATTTCAACTACCAACTTTGGGGGGGGGGACTCTGTTGGGTGAACAGATTACTCACATGCTGGCAATGTTTTTATGTGTCCACAGTTTTGATATCTTTTAACTGGGTGATGTAATGTATATATGAGCTTTTGCCAATAGGTGGGTACCTAAAATGTAGCACAAGAAGTTTTTAATATTTCGTTTTTACTTGAATTTTTCTATTCATCCATATCTCCTCCTAAAAAAACGTGTATTAGCAGACCTACACACAGCATGCTAAGCTGTGTAACTGGCGTTACGTAACGTCAAGTCAAATTTTTTCCGACCTAACTATGGTGACACATTTTTAAAAAATTTGTACATACAAAATTATTTCAACAGTTTTCTTATTGTTTTAATTTTCAAACATAAGCATGAACAGCATATGAAACGGTGAGGATCAGAGAAACAAGAAATTCTGATAATGTTGTGTTTGCATTTGTGTCATCATAGTTATGTCCGAAAGAAATGAAAAACTTTCTGTTTTCATATCTTAATTTCTTTTATGAAAATTTGGGCAAACAGCGATTCAGAAGACTCACAACGCATGTTAATGAGGAAAAAATGCCATTTTATTCACATTTTAATTTGACTCTAATGCAAAATATGTAATATCTTTCGAACATAACCATGATGACATAAAAAAAATTTAAAGCCTGTAAAGTAATTTAGGGAACTTAAAATTATTTTAATAGTTTCATCATTGCTTTAATTTTCAAACATAATTATAAAGAGCATATAAAATCTCAACAAAAAGAAAAGAAATTCTGAATGTCTTTGTGTTTGCATTTGTGTCAGCATAGTTATGTCCGAAAGAAATGAAAAACTTTCCTATTTCCATTTTCATACTTTAGTTCATTTTTTGGAAATTTTGACAAACAAAGATTCTGGAGATTCAGTTTGACTCATAATGCATGCCAATGGTGAAAAAATTCCCCTTAATTCACATTTTACTGTGACTCTAATGCTAAACACCAAATATCTTTAGAACATGACCACGATGACACATAGTCATCATAGTGGATAATTTTGGAAAATATCATCAATTTACATCAAATTTTCCCCTCTCGTTGACATCTGGCCAAGCACGCATGGTTGCATGTAGATCTACCACTACTTGACTGTTGGAACGCTGTGCAATGTTAACCATTACTTGGTTGATATTTTTTAACATAACATGTTTAGATTTGATGACGACTGAAAAGAAAACTTAAATGGATTCGTCTCATCGATCGTTTTTCATCTCGCTGTCTTACATGGCACAACAATACACTTTGAATGGATCAACAGGAACAATGCAAGTTCCTCCACCCTTACTTCTTCTCGTTTTCTAATCAGTTCCTTCGAACATAACAAATGATGACAGCACGAGGCGTGGCAGGATTACCGTCTTCTGCAAAATTACGTACGGTCACAGCCTCGGAATCAGTCAGGGCAGAGAGTAAACATTGAACGATATTATGCTCATTCCAGGGCCACAAAATGGCCAATAGAAACGAAGTCACGGGGAATCGAAGTTGCCTTGCGAAATGACTACGCGAGTTATGCTCGAAAATGAAAATCGAGAAGGCTCACAAAGAAAAAACAGCTATAGATATCACTATTCCTGATATTGCACCACAAATAATACAGTTATACTAGTAAAAAGGTAGAAGGACGAGTTGCTCAGCAATTATTTAATTGTTGAACTTGATGACAGAAAAATTACAAACTTGACGCGTCACGTTTTGCATTCTAAAAATACATAGATTTCAGAACTAAAAGTAATTGTAAGATTTTTTCTGATTGCCCAACTGCTATTTCTATACTCCCATAGCTGAAACATCATATAAAGCACAACATATACAATTTTCAAAGCTGTAGCACCATTTTTATTGGAATAGGAAAGGATTTTGTAAGATATATTAAGAAAACCCAATCTATTGGCAAAGGCTCATATGTTGTTATTAACTTTGTCATTTTTAATTCAAATTGATTAAAAATGGTCAGGTTTGCTTTTCCACTGTCAATTTGGGTTGATCCACTTCAGCCCTCAAGTGTCACTTGAGTCCATCCCCTTTGTTGCAAGTGCGACTCCCTAGTAAAACATTCAAAGAAATACTCCCAAAAATTTCTGAATTCCTGAATGATATTTCAACCAACTGCACTTTTGATCTACCCCTCACCTCTCCCAGTATCTGAGCAAGTTGCCGTGGGAGAGCACCCTGGGCCTGGCCCCCTGTGTGGTGACCCGCATGCCCTCACTGTGCACACTTCAGGCCTTGCTGTGCCTCCACAAGGACAAGGCCGAGTCTGCGTACATGACGGGTGTGGACCGGGACAGCACGGTTGCCGTGGTGGACCCAGAGACCAACCTGCCCAACACAATGAACACTCTGGTGCCGGAGTTTGCGCAGTGAGTACACCCAGTTTTGGTTTCTTTTTAAAAAATGAATTTGTAATGCACACATACAAACCTTGGCGTTCATATGACCTTATGCAGTTGCGAGCGCCGTAAAACCCTCTACTATAAAAAAATTTTTAAAAAACACACATACAAATGCGTGCGTTCGTGCACGCACACGCACGCACGCACGCACACACACACACACACACACACACACACACACACACACACACACACACCCTCTCAACAGCAAGCCCCATGTGCTTTACATTCTATACATGTTAAGCAAATCTAAATTTGTCCTTGTGAGGATAATACATTTTTTTTTTACTGCTAGTTCTGTTGATTTAATATATTATTGGAAACTGTTCTAAGTTTTCATTCTTTTTAGATAATATGATACCTTTATTATGTATTTTCACTTTCTTTTTTCAACATTTAGAATTTGAATCAAGTCTAAATATTTCTTGAGTACATGCAGCTGGGTACCGATGATTAAGATTTGACTTCTCTTTTTTTTCATTCTTAGTTTTGGACGCAATACCTCTGATTAGCTGGCCAACAAAGGGTAAAATTTAAATGAAAAAAGAAAATGTATATTAAATATCTTGATTATTTTTAGAATGTTAGATATTCCCCTTCTTCTACATCTTCAAATTTGCTTTTGTTTTCTCTTGACTATTGATGAAAGGGTGGAGATCAGTCTGCTCCAAAAGAAAGAATATGTGCAGTGATTGCTTTTGTTCAACTTGTCTGTATCTGCCAGGTATCCTGGCTGGAAGTGCGTGAGCCAGATCCAACCTACCGTGGAAAACTTAAAATCCTTCCTGATGGACCAGGCTCTGTACATGTAAGTTCCCATGGATAACTACACCTGTGAGGTCGCCGGTTTGTGTGGGGCAGGGAGCTCTCTGTCTGTTGCTGGGATGCCCATCATTACGATATTAGGGAAATTGTAGCGATTTTTTCAATTTTACAAAAATACAATCGTAATACCCCTTATTCACATTTTCTCAAAATTTTGGCAATCCCAACTCACAGCCAACCTTCCCGGTGTGTCAGGGGAGAAAAACTACCAGACCGTGACAGCCTACATCATTACATCACTGCAGATGTCTAACTTGAGCATCCTCTTTGCATTGAGCCCTTGTTGTTGCTTAGATTAGTACCACTTTGCCCTCAGAAAAACATTTTGCTTTAGTTTTAGAAGTGCTGAAGCCAGGAGAAAGGTAAACATTTGGTTGACATGGTGTTCGTAAATTCATGTCTTTTTGTGCTGTGTGTGACAGACAAGGCCAGCGACAGATATTTTTTTGAAAGACGTATCGTTTGAAACTTAATACAATTAGCCCCCTTTTCTGTCCTTTTAAAAAAAAACTTGATCTGTGAGGAGCCCGTCAAGACCTGTTTCCATCAAGTCTTTGTTTATGTTACTTTTATACTTGCTTGACTACAGACCCAGTCCTTGACACCCCAGGGAAGAAGATGATCCATGGCCGTATTACGAATTTTAAAGCCAGATGAGATTACTTATGTTCTATTTGCTGATTACTAAAACATATGCTGACCGCCCTGTTGTTGTTGACTCTCATCCCATAGTCTTTGACCATTGGGGTATCATGGATGACTTATGACTTCGTGTTCAGCTCGATTCAGGCCTCTGGATTCTGGCGAGCCCCGTAATTGTGCAAAGTGCCCTTACTTTTCTACGCAGCAAATGCTCACCTCTTGTGGGGCAGCATACCTGCTAACCGGTACACGAAAAATGTGTTTAATACTTTTTTGAGGGTCTGGGTACGGAAGTCAATTTTTTGTGTCGGAGAATGCTACGAAAAGAATTATGAACTGTCAAAACCTGATTTGCGAATAACATTGAGAAGGAAGCTTTTAACTTGTAACCAATGGGAGTTGTGTCCCTTATCATTCCTCACTTTGCTGCAAGTCTTTTTTTTTTTCAGTAAGTGTTTTACGACGCTCGCGACTGCATAGGGTCATATTAGCGCGGGGGACACATTAAACTTTTTCAGTTAGTAGGAAGTTTTGGATTTTGCCCAGTTGGCAGCCGAAGCCTACTCTTATCCGATTTTAGACCACCAAGGGATCTTTAAAGTGTGCAACTTGTACACGTGACCTCCAAGATTTTTCGCCCTTGTCCGAGAAGGCTAGATGTAGATCTTTCCTACCAGAAGATCAGGGGTGTGGCTGAAAGACAGCAGTAAGAAGGAGCCAAGGAGTAGCAGTAGAAAGGCTGCAGAAAGAGTCAGGAGCCCAGAGGAAGGGGGCAAAGGAGGTGAGGTGTGGGGGCAGAAAGTGGAGACGAAAGCAGATGACAGAACATTCTTGTCCACTGTCCGACCATCTATGTGGGTCGAGTCTGTCTTTTGATTTTGAAAAGTTGGCAGCTGTCCAAGGGAGCTCAGGTGCAGGGGTCCAGCCACCTTAGGAGGTTACAGGTTGACAGAAAAAACATCTTTTTCATTCTAATTTGTCTTAACTAAATTTTGCATCATTTTAACAAAGTTAGCTCAGGAGTAGTTGAAAGGCACCACTAATAGGACCTACTTCTTTTCTCTCCCATCAGCCTTTGTTGCCTTTCCCCAGCACTTAGTAACTGTTACTGTGTGAATGATCTCTTTATTCAAAATAATAGATAACATTTTTGTCGCTCGTATCCCCATTAAACAGCATGCTATATACGCTTTACAATTTACATTATCACCCCAGCGGACCCCTGAATGCTCAGGAACATTCTGAACCTTCCGGAAAGCATACAGTGCAAACAGCCAATTAAGTGCCCAAACACTTAGTTTAGGCTGTTTGGTTTTTTCCCTTATGATTCCATGCCCACCTATACTGGCTGAATCTGTCTGACACTTTTGCTTTTGCTGCTTTTCCTTTGTGAGTAATTGACGGGCACTCTGGTGTGGTTTGCTCCTACTTTACTATCAAACATTTATTGTTCTTATTTCTCCTACTCTTCTTTGTATGTTACTTTCTAGTAAGACCTCTTATCTTTGGCACTTATATGACATATTTGTGTTGCAAGTGCCGTAAAACTTTTACTGAAGCGGGTGGTTGGAGGATTCCAATGGTAGATTCTACTTCTTTTTTTCCCCCATCTTTTGCTTCTGTCTGTCTGTTTTGCTTCTTCCCTGCGCTATATAACCGTTAGCGTGTCAATGTGCTTCTCTTTACTCAAACTTTTATTGATTCTAAAACTTCACCTGCCGTCCACAGTTACGCGGGTCATGGCTGGGGTAAACAGTTTGTGGGCGGTGATGACCTCCAGATGTTCCGTTCACGTGCTGTGGCTGTCTTGATGGGCTGTCAGAGCGCTTATCTCCGAGTGGAGCCTAAGATGGAGGGGGATGGTGCTCCTCTCTACTTCCTCATGGCTGGATGGTGAGTAGATTGACAGCTGACCAAAAGAAATTCCATTTACTTAAAACAATGGGTGACGGGCTATTTTCATTTCATGGCCCCAAGATCCGAAACGCGCTGCCTGGTAACCAAAACTATTCATTCAAAAGTCAGCTCAACTAATTGTTATTCTTAGATTAAAGAGATCAATTTAGATTCTTAGTTAGAACACATTCTATTGTCTATGTGTTGCTTTTGTATTTGTATAGTGCTCAGAGCCTGTGTCTTCAATCAGGTTAGAATGTCTTAATATACTATTATGAGAAGAATTTTGATGGAAATTCGTCTTGAATGCCCTTCATCGATTTGGGGATTTATATAAATAGGCCCACTGTCCTATCTACAAAAGGTGAGACCCCTTCAATGATGAAGCTGTGGCACATGGACGGACTTCAATCCTCTGGGATCTATGTGTGGCACGTTCTTTTGTGCATCATCCTCTTCTCCCTTCTGCTATCTTCTCTTCCACTGCTAACCTCATATGCATCAAAACTAGAGGTTCCCCCATCACACAAAGGGGGCACCTTGTTAATTGTGAGCTGCCTTTTAATGCAACAGAATTCTCGATTTCTCCGATTTCATCACGTCGTATGTTGATGAGCACATGATTTCACACATAAGAATATATATGAGGTAGCGAGTGCCATAAAACTCTTACCAAAAACAGTCCTTCTGGAGAAAGTGTACTCTTTGGGGGGTTCCTTATTTTTACCATTCCTCCCTACTGGTTTCCTTTTTGGGTTTTTTCTTTGTTCGAACATTTGGGTGAAATTCTTCTGTCTATGGACATATTTTGGTCTTTTAAAAATCACCGAAGACAGAAGTTTCTTCTTGTTTTTCCATCATGTACATTTGGCATAATTTGTTACTTGTAAAGACAAGCACCTAAAAACATATTTGTGTTTCTGTTGGTAGTCCTGCTGTGGTTGGAAATTTGTGGATTGTGACAGACAAGGATGCTGACAAAGTGACCTGCGCCATGGTCTCTCACTGGATGTCTCAAAAAGAAGCCGTCCCTCTGTCCTCCCTGCTGACTGCCGCCCGTCCTGTCTGCAAGCTGTCCGGGCTGAACGGCTACCCCCTGGTTACCTACGGCCTGCCTGTCATGATGAACGGACCAAAGAGGACCTCTTCTTAGCAATATATTTTTTTATTTGATTTGTTTCATATGTGGCTTATTTAGAATTTGTACTTGGACAAAGGGGGTGGATTATGACGTCATGTGGTATTTGTAAATTAAAATTGAAATTTTCTGAATCCTGATGAATATTCTGTTTCTTGTTTGGAAGTTGAGAATTTTTCATTTTCTAGAGTTGTGCCAGCTCATGGTGATTTTATTGGACTGTCCGAGTCTGTGAGGCTTTTGCCAACTTGCTGTCCAATTCATTTCTGAGTGAGAGTTGAACTAAAGTTTTTTAACAAGGTAATCATTGTGATCTTTGACTGAAACCGAGAATAAAAATGAGTCGCTCTTCCAGGACCTCAATGACTGGCCATAGTCATGGTGATGTGCCTTTCTTTACTCTAAAACTAGTGTTATATAAATTCAACAAACACCCCCCCCCCCCCTCCCAACACTTTTCCAGTGTAGCTAAATTCAACAAGGAGCCTGGATTTCCGTGTGTGGCTATTATTTTAGATTGTCTGACTGTCAATGAAGAACATTATCAGCGCAAAGTCTCAGATTACGATCACCACATTAGTTAGTCTCACTTTGGAAATTGCCCGTCTCTATATTTGCATATGGTTTGTCAAGGACTTTATATTTGTTTGTTTGCTCAAATGTTTGTAATATATTGCAATTATGTTGAATTTTCTTTTTCATTTATATCTACTGTATATATGTACACACCCACACACACATACTGTCGAACTTGTCTAAGACAGCTACCCATTGTGAAGGAGAAGAGTGGGCATCTTAGACAGGTGGTTGTTTTACACAGTGTCAAAATGTTTTAAAAAGCAAGGAGGGAATGAGAAGTGGCCATTTGTACAGGTGATAGTCTTATACGGATGGCGGCTAGAGCAGGTTCAACTGTAAATATGATAGTCCATAATGAATGAAATTTTGATTTCTGATTTTTATTTGCTTTTCATCAGCCTCATTGAAAATAGAACAAATCTCTCGTTTTGTTTCTCAAGTTCATGCTCTGACCAGAACATGGCAGGGCAGCCACTTGATGAGAGCACAGAAAATGTTTTTCTATGCACTGGATGTCTGTTTTTTTGGTGGTGCTAATGACGCATTCAAAGCTGTACATTTCTCTTGATTAAATCTTTGTTTCTCTGTCTAGCCTATTACTATTTGTTGCGAGTGCAGTTTAATTTTATTTTTTTTGGAGTGTTTGGGTTTGTTTTGTTTTTTTTGCCTGTATACATCAAACACCCCCCCTCCACTTCCCAAAGAAACAGCACTTCTTGTTTTGCCTGTAAAGTTGTTTAGTTCTGTATTCAAAAGGGCCCTGAATGGACTCAGTGTCATGTTGTGTGGCCTGCTTACCTCCTGGCTATGTAATTACTTTCTCAGCTGTTACTAGCAAGTTGTACATTTTTGTAGAGATATATATAGAACTCCTCACACTGAAATGCGACCCCTGAATGAGTCATGTATACATAAAGTCAAGCTCTATGTTCCAATATGTGTTTGTGTCTGTAAAAAGTGATAACGAGTGGGTAGTTGAAAGGCGTCATTGTGGTAGGTCCTACTACTTTTCTTTCCCTATTATTTTATTTCTGTCGGTCTGACTTTTTCCCTGCACTGAATGACTATTATTGTGTCGATGTGCTTCTCTTCACTTAACAAGTGATAACAGGTGGTGCCACTGCCAGGTCCCACTTCTTTTCCTTCCTTTTGTTATTTCTGTCTGTCTTTTTGTCTGCACCAAATAACCATTACTGTGTCGATGAGCTTCTCTTTACCCAACAAGTGATAGCTGGACCGGTACAGTGTTAACAATTGTGTGGCGTGGTGAAATCAGGCACTTGTCAAAATAACGAAATCTGAGAAATCAGAATTTTTCGGTCAGTTTGGACATTAAAAAAAATTTGTTTTTTGGCTCTGCGGCTCAACACCTGTTTTTTTTAAATGTCCATTCAAAAACACTTATGTGTAGATTTTATGGAAAAACGTTGATTAAAGGCACAGCTCTTTTGAATTTGCAGTTTCCAGGGACTTTTAATCTATAGAAGTCGCCAAACTTTGGCAGCCATTTTCTCGCTAATTTTACCGTCTGAAACTAGGGGACCCCACCCCCTTCAATCGGAAATGTCTCGACTTCTATTCAAGATAAATGGATATTTTTTTCATTGAAAGCAAGGCAAATAAACAACCTTTAAGATGATACCAATGACTCCGTATGCCCAAAATTGACGAGCGCCTGATGCGTCGGGACACGTGATGATTACCTTTGTAAGATTTTTTGACTTGCCTTTCTAAGGAACATTTCTTTTAATGGTTAGTCGAGCAAGTCTAGTCGTCCTTTTTTTTTTTTTTTTTAAATGATTTTTCTCTCCTTCTGTTTTCTCCTGGGGAATTGCAAAGAACTGCAGATAGTCAGAGGCTGCCACTGGTATGTCCTATGTCTTTTCTTTCCCTGTTATTTCTGTTTTTGAACCTGTCTTGTTATTTCCCTGCACCAAGTAACCATTATATCGCTTGTTTGTGCTTCTCATTACTCAAAACAAGGGACTGTCGTGTCTTGTAAGTTACATCTCTGTTATTTTCTTGTCCTATATGTTTGGGGTTCCCCTGTTAACTGGACTATGGTTCCCTTGCCCTCTGTGAGAGTTATACACCCGTGTTATCCATGTGGATTTGAGCTCATCTGTCTGCATTCTCTTTTGTCAGTTTTTCTATTACCCTTTTGAAAACATTGCACTCCCATCAATTGGAAGGGAACAGAAACTTTTCATCCAAATTGTGAACGTGAGTTTCATCTTGGCCAGATGTACTATGTTTTGAATCTGAACCTATGCTAGAAAATGGATGGCTGGGAATCGGAAGTGAAATAAAATCTAGAGGGAAATGAATAAGTAAGGGCAAAAGGAGACATGTGTTGCTTGCCTTCCAGTAAAGTACTTTACTCCTCCCTGTAGTTGGTGGAAAAAAGAGTGATCTATCGTGGAGCTGTGCGGCTTGCATATTTTAACCATTCAGCGTCGGGCAAAGTGTTTCTATTTTTATCAGTTACTTTAGTCAGCTAAACACCGAAGATGTACTTTTGCTTTGATTCCATTACTAAGGCACATTCGGTGGAAATATTTTAAATAAAAATATGCTTAAATTCCAGACTTGCTCGTGACTGTTCTACTATAATACCGGTAATTAGTTAATTGTTTTTTCCAATGCTTTTGGAAGAAATTATCGCAGAATGTATTTTCCTTTTTAGTTGTTTTATTTTCATGTATATATTAATACGTTTTTTTTCCCACGGACTAGTCATCAGCTATCAGGGCGTACTAGGTTGGATAGATCTTGTTTTCAGATGAAATTTCAATTTATTGTTGTAATTTTCATGTAGTTTAGAAGAACATTTTTATATGATCAATCATATTTGTGCTAATACTCCAACGTAAAATTTTTACATTTGTATTAGCAGATGGGCTTGCACTCTCGTTTTACTATATTCCAATGTTGTGCATTTTTTGGTCTTAAGTTATATTCATGATCAATGTACATAATTTATACAGTGTTTGAATAAAGACTAATTTATCCAATCTTCTGTTTTTAATTTGTTGATGTGGTAACTTCAGTCCAGTTGATGTGTTCGTGTGTCTCAGAGATTGTTTCACTTGAATGTGATGAAAATGGGGTTAAAAAATATATTTATCTTTCCCAATGTAGCCTCTTCACATAGTCACGCATAGATCTCTCATCGTCCTTTGACCTTTGCAATAATTTTTTTTTAAACCTTTTTTTTCACTGGCAACCTGTCGCGTCGTAACATTTCCTGAGACATCTTTATGATATAAAGGATTCACTTCTTGACACACACACACATAATATTATGTAAATGGGAATCTTCTTTTTATCTCAAAGACACTTCTATAAATGTTTCTCTCTCTCTCTCTCTCTCTCTCTCTCTCTCTCTCTCTCTCTCTCTCTCTCTCTCTCTCTCTCTCTCTCTCTCTCTCTCTCTCTCTCTCTCTCTCTATATATATATATATATATATATATATATATGTGTGTACATAAATATATATATATATATATATATGTACATATATATGTACATAAATATATATATATATATATGTACATATATATATATATATATATATATATGTATGTATATATATAAGTATTTCATTAAATTTTCAGCTTTTTATCCGCTGCATTCAGCTTTAAAGTAAAAGATTTTTAGTTTGCTCTAAATTTTAATGCTTGTTTTGAACTAGTGTTGATAGGTTTTATTTCTTCAATACGCCATTGTTGTTTCTCTTTGTCTGTCTTACTTTTTCCCAGCACAAGATGATCACTTTTGAGAAAGTGTGATATTTTTTTTCCTGCATCAGCAAACAAAGACCAAGAAACAAATGTTTACAAATGACAAGACACCTTTTAATTGTCAAGGTGCATCTAAAAAACATAACGAGCAGCTTCAATACAATAACAACATTATCACTGACCAGCTATCACAATCAGCCTTTGGTGGAAACCAGCAGATAATTGTGTTACAGTGTGGTGGAATCAGGCGCTCATCAAAACAGGGACATCGAAGAAACATACATTTTTCTATCCCTGGGACGATTTTTACCAAACTTTTAAAGTTTTGGCTCAACATTTTTTATATCAATTTAAAAACACATCCCTGCATGAGTTTTACTAAAAAATATTGATGAAAGGCACAAAAAATGTAGATTTGTAGTTACTAAGGACAGACAAGCTTTGGAAATCACCAAACTTGACGATTTCTAGTGGCGATAGATGAGTATTTTTTTTTCATAAAAAAGCAAGGAAAATGAACAGGCATTAAAATGATACCATAACTGAATTAGCCCAAAAACTGCTGAGCGCCTGATACCTCCACGTTATGACACATTTTTAGTTGTGAACATTTCCAAGACGACTACTCATTGTCCATAGGAAAGTAGTCACCAAAGACAGGGGGTCCTCTCACTCAAAGCCAATATGAACAGAAAAAACACAAGGTGGAAAGTGGTCATTTGTACAGGTGATTGTCTTGGACAGGTGCTCGTTAGAGCAGGTGCAACAATTTTTGACAAGGGTGCTGAAGAGATGAAATCAGTACCTGAGGTCCAGCAGTTCTACCTGCTGCCAAATAACAGAAAGCTTTCACTTACAATACACAATACACAACTGACTTGATTTTCGGCAGGCACATATGCATAGATTTAAATATTTTGATAAATCTGCTTTGCTGATGTTGGGCACACATATCTAATCATCATGTGAACATAATATTGAGGAATGCTCAGGTGGGGGAGATGCAATGATCAAGACAAAAACAGTCACAGAGTACGCATATGTATGTATGTGTGTGTGTGTGTGTCTGTGTGTGATTATTAATTCAGTTTTTGATTGTATGTGTTATTGTTACAGTTTAGGTTCACATTTATGTTCAGTAAAATAAAATCACTTAATACGTTACACACATTCATTTCCCTCTCTCTCTTTCTCACTCTCTTTTTATCTCTCTCCCTTTTTCTCCTATACCTCTTCCTTTTCCTCTTTCTCATCTGCTTTATAATTTCACTTTTGAAACTTTTTCTTTTCTTCCCTGTGGTTAGTTGTTTTTTTTAAATTTGTCCGTCTCTCTGTCTGTCTCTCTGTCAACCCATCTTTCGGTCTGTCCATCTACCGCTTAACCTGTCTGTCTTGTTGTGTTCCCCTTTCCCTCTCTCCCTGAACAATAGTCAACTCCGCTTGTGTTGAACTCGCTTGAGTTGATCTTCCGTTAAGTTGATTTTTTTTCAGGTTCCAGCCCCTCTTCTTCTTTACATTTGTTAAAATCAAATGGTTAAGTTTAATTCAACGCAACTATAAAAATGCTTGACGTAAACGGTAAAGAGCTTTTTTTACCCCTGACTGCAAGCATGCAATGGTTGTATTGATTTTGTTTTAATGTGTAAGGTCAAATGTTTCACAGCAGTTTTTACACAAGTAAAAATATAATTATAATTGTAGAGCTGATCAAAGCCTAAAAATAGGCCTACATAATTAATACCTCAATGAAACAGGGGAGCACACGAGCGGGTGTTCACATGTATTTGACGCCACGATGCAATAACCACGCCTGTTCCTTTCCCTCTCCTCAAAGCCAAAGGGTATGGTGCACCACAAGACAGTGAGTAATACAGTGAAACCTTGGTATAACATACTCAGCTGAAAATGTACCCTCCATTGTGACTTAGTGTAACTTTTACTTTCTGCAGTATAGAGTCCCAGTTAGAATTTTTACTCTTTAAATGACATGAATAAATATTGCTCATTAACCTTTCCTGTTGCCATCATTTCTATCACAGTAGTCTACTAAAATTAGACTCCTGAGCAAGGAAAAAGGTTTCGTTGTGTCCCTTGCATTTTGTGGTTTCAATGAATAAGCTGAACTTCAGATGAGTAATCTTTTTTTCATTCCCCTGACAACATCAACTCATCTGTAGTCGACCATATACACAAGACCGATCTTCCGCACATAACAAACCACATGGTTACAGAACCTCTGAGTAAAAATTATCCCTCCCTGACCCACAAACCCTCACATTAAACTCCACTCGGCCTCTGCATCAGTTCCTGCTCTCCATCACCTTTCCTTAAGGGATTGCCAAACAACACTTTTTCCGACTCTGGCTCTGGTACATAATCCACCACATCCAATTGAGTGGACGTTGCCCACTTCTGAACCTTTGCTTGACCAAATACTAGGAAGAAAATCCCTCCACAGGCGTAGATGACAGCTGCAATGATAAACGCCAGTTGCCATTCCTCTTGTGTTTTCTGTCAACAAAAAGATCAGACCAGATCAGACCAGATAAAGTGAGCTCAGGTCAGATCAGATGAAATAAGATGAGGAGACTAACTTATATTGATCCATGAGGGAAATTTTGGGTGGATATACCAGAACATCAACCTAAAAAGCTTTAACATCAGCACAGAAATGCATTCATTACATTCATGCACACATACGACAAAGTACAACTCACTCTCACAATTGTACCCAAACAGATGATGTCACTTTATTGGAATGATTATTAGACACTTTACAGTAAGTAATAGCTAATCATAGATCAGTAATGATCAGTTTCAGTCCAATTAGATCATGGCCACATTTCGCTACAGCACATTATATGTAGTAGACTGGGCACTGAGGGCACAGAACCTTAAGAACTTCACAACCATGCGGAAAATTTCAGCCTGGAATCATTGTAGGAGGTCTGAATAATTTTAATTGTACTTTCTACATTCTGGACCATTTCTTCACCCCATCTGTACTTTCCAAGGACCAAATTATGTATGTCATCACAGGAAATTCATGCTCTCGACAAAATGATGAAATCAGAGAAACAGACATATTTCCGACTGTTGGGCAATTTCTATCAAAATGTCTTCTTTTTCCCCATAAGTAAATGATGATAATAATCATTATTACGTCAATAAGGTTTCTCTTCCTATCAAATTATAAGTTATAACTGGATTCAAGAAGACAATTATATTAACTGAAAACCAAGAGCAACTTACATTTTTTGTGACAAGGGCAACAATATATGGAGAGACAATGCCCATGCCACCAGAGATACAGTTTGTTATGCCGAACAGCGTGCCAGCATATTGTGGGGCTATATCGCCATGGTTCACGAGGAAGCCGCAGTAAATTGTGCCTGACAAGCCTAAGCACAGACAAAGTACAACCACAGCCAGCACTTGTTGTGTGCAGTCAAACCGCGTCAGCACAATCATGCACACCGCTGGGCCAAACATTCCTGGAACAAATGTGCGATATATTCATGGTGAAATCAGGCACTCCACAAAATAATGAAATTTTAGAAAATCAGCACGTTATTTAGATTCTATTTGATGTTTTTGGCTCAACAACTTTTTATGTTCATTTAAAGACATCTTTCTGTGTGGACTTTACTGATAAACTTTGAATCAACGTACCAAACTTGTAAATTTGCACTTTCCAAGGACCCTCACGCTTTGGTAGCCGTTGAACTTTGGCAGGCATGTTCTTCCTAATTTTACTTGCACACCAGCCCAACTCCTTCTATTGTAAATATCTTATCTTCAATTCAAGAGGTTTGGGTATTTTTTTCCATTTATAGCAAGATTAAAGAAAAAGCTATTTAAGATGATACCAATAAAGACTCAATCCATATATGCTAAAAAAATAACAAGCTCCTGATCCCACTGCGTTGTTACACAAAATGTCACGTTACACAAAATGTCACAGTTTTCAAATTAAGTGTGTTAAAAAAAAAAGTTGTGCAGGCAGAGTGCAGCCATCATGCTTTGAAACAGAAATTAAATAAATTGATTATCAATGGGTTATTCCCAGCTGGTCATGGCGAAGCAGTTGGCCTACTCTGCCATCGTTTTTAAAAGTACAGTATATTAATATGCAGTTTTATTGACAGTTTTACAGGAGAGCCCAAGTCCTGATGTTATTACAAAGAAAACATTTGCTTAACTCTATCCGTACGCCAAGGGGTAATTTTGTACCCCCGGGGTTGTATTCTTCATATTTTTGAATACTTCTAGTACGAAGATCTCTTTGAAACTTTCAGTATTTCTCAAAAAATCATTTTGACAGACTGCTATGCAAAGCGTACGGATCGGGAAAACGAGTAAATTTCCTCTTTGGAAAGTGGTAGCACAGAGTCCCACACGTCATATGGATACGATAGTAAAATACGATGTACGGATAGGGTTAAAAGAGAGTAAGGAAGTCATTATCAAAATTGCACTCCTAAAAATATTGACTTGGGAGGTTTGCAAAGAGTTTGTTTTCCTGGTAACTACATTCAGTATTTGGATCTCCTGTAAAATTGTAAAAGAATGCATGTGCTGTACATGTACTTTTAAAAATGATGGCAGTACTGAAGTGTTATTTGTAAAACACTATCACTAAGACTTATGTGGACTCTTGTCTACTCTAAATCTATGCTTCAATAGTACAACACAGTGTTTTCGGGTCCACGCTGGCTCCATGGTGACAAAAGCCATCTTGTTTATTTTTCTCTTGTCTCCCTAGACTTATAAGTTACTGGAGTAACCAGGATCCATGGTGTAGTGGCACTTCACTGTCACATGCAAGAAACCGGAGTTCAATTCCCAAAACGGGAGAATTTCTAAAGTATACCTCGGTCTTTTTGCTGGGATATTGTATTCCTCTCAATCCAGATTGGCCCTGAAAGACAGGGTCTGAAGCCGGTTTCCTAAAAGATCTATTCAGTGTCTACAGGGACGTAAAAGAACCTACATTATTACTTTGGTGTAGTACTTCACAAACTTGATCGCCCACACAGAAGCTAGAGGTTAGAATCACAGTGGGTTCCTAAGTTTTGTTTCAGCTCTGTGTCCTGATTGGTTTTAGTTTTAGTACGAGCCGAAGATTTGAGGTGTTACTAAAGAGTTGCATACAAATTTTAAAAAAGAGAGATAAGAATGATAGATGTCTAATCTTCCGTACTTAAATGACTTATTTGAGTAGCAAGTACTGTAAAACTCTTATAAAAACTTTTAAAAACAATAATACCAGGTTTTATCAAAACATACCATTACTACTTAACTTAAAAAGTAAACAAACAAAGAAGCAAACAAACAAACAAACAAACGAGGCCTCACCTATACTCGTTGTGAGTTTTCTTGCCCACACACAAGACAAGATCTTCATCGAGATTAATTTGTCAGCCACCACTCCTCCCGTAGTGCTGAAGACTAGCAACGACAGGTACGGTAGCATAGAGTACACACCATTCTGAAATGAGAAACAAGAGGATTTGTTACTCTGATCACAAAGGTAGAAAGAGAGAGGGGGAGAGGAAGAAAGGAACAGACAGACAGACAGACAGACAGACAGGTAGGTAGGCAGGCAGGCAGGCAGGCAGGCAGGCAGGCAGGCAGGCAGGCAGGCAGGCAGGCAGGTAGACAGAGAGAGAGAGACACAGAGAGAGAGACAGAGAGAGACAGAGAGAGAGAGACAGACAGAGAGAGACAGACAGAGAAACAGAGACAAAGAAATAGATATAGATATATAGACAGATAAGACTGACAGATAGAAAGATAAAAAGAGAGAGAGAGAGAGAGAGAGAGAGAGAGAAAGAAAGAGAGAGAGAAAGAGTCATTTACACAGGTAAATATGTAAATCAGTTACAGGAAGAAAAATGGTGTAATGTTCTCCTACAGATGTTGACAGGCTTTTGTTTTGACAAGTCTGCATTTCACGAAAATATGCACTTTACACACGGGAAGCCATGAGCGTCAACTTCCGCATTGATGTGTCAACAAAATTCGTTCTGCCACAAAGCAACAAATTGGCAGAGGAAAACAGAGCCTCCAATGGCATCATTCTTGAGGTTTTCTCTGCCTAGATGGGTCAAAGATGAAGCTTACATTTTAAGTCAGCCTGATAACAGCCACGTTAGACAATGAAGAGACTAGGACAAAATCTCAAAAGGTGGCAGAAAAGCCTCAAAACAAGAACGTTTTAAAATTCAATGTTCCAGGCAAAAATGTCACATGCAGTAGTCTTGTCGTGTTAATGTATTCCAACAGGCTTTTTTTTTTAAGATGAGGTAAGACAAGATAAACAAAACAACAACAAAAATCCAAAAACCACATACACTCACAAAGACACAAAGCAGAAAACATCTTCTTTACTTTTTATAACAATAAGTAGCACCAAAGCAAAGGAAATAAGACAAGTTCAAACCCAAACACAATAAATGCCAACGTTTTAAACTTTTAGTTTCAAAGAGGTTTTTTTTTCAAGTTTATAAATGTAGGTGTTTTTACACCAACAGAGACACAATTTAGATCATTTAGGAGGTGGGCTTCAACCCTGCCTGTCATGGCAGGGCCAACCTGGGATGAGAGGGATACAATATCCTTGCAGAAAGACCAAGACATTCAATAAAAATTCTCCCTCATCAAACTCAGGTCTTCTGCACGCGAAAGCAAAGTGCTTAACCACTATAACACCACAGATACTGGTCAAAGGCTTCCGAGTTAACCCTTTTTGAGCCATGACGTCCTGAACCGGCCTTCCCGTCATGTTGCCACACAAGCTTTTTCCAGCTTTCCCCCCGTGGCGCCATACCGCCTTTTACCAGCCTGACACACTCGCCTTCCTGACACACTCGCCTTCCTGACACACTCGCCTTCCTGACAGACCCGCCTTCCTGACACACTCGCCTTCCTGACACACTCGCCTTCCTGACAGACCCGCCTTCCTGACAGACCCGCCTTTAGTGCAGGCTTAGAAAAAAAACCATTCCACTCTAAATTCAGATGCTGAAGTCTTAAGTCTTTGTATGTGAAATTTTATTGAAATACTTTGCTTAGATGAAAAGAAGAACAATTTCTTTGCTACATCCCCTGAACCTCTCAAAAACACTGAAGTAATTGGGTTCTGGGAAGCCATCAGCTGGCCATCATTTTGCTAACCTGCTGATCTTTTTATGGTGCTAAGAGGGTTCAATGACTCACAGATTTCATGTCAAACTTGAGGACTTCCTTCATGTAGGTGGGCATCTGTGTCATCATCATAAAGAAGCCGTAGTTACAGCAGCAGTGGGTGAACAAGATGGCGTGGAATGGCAGAGAGGTGACTATTGAGAACCACGGGATCTTGATCTGAGGAAGACACACATTAATGCTAGTTCTTGAGGATACTAGAATAAGCAGATAAGGTCTCGACCGGCTTGTTCTCATTTGTCTTTTAAAAGTGACAACATAGGCAGAGGCTGACCAAAAATAATTTCAAAGGACATGAAGTGATGGGTGATGGGAAAAGACCAGGATAATATTATTATACAGCTTTTTTTTTTTAGCATCCAAGCAGAGAAAACAGTGGTGAACCAAGCTAAAAAGTAAAATCTACTGGCGTCCAAGGAACAGCTTAAAAATGATCTATTTCGAATTATACTAAGTCAAAATTTAGATATATACAAAATTTGATTTTTGTAAATATTCAAATTTCTCCATACAACAGTTTCTCCATGACCAATCAATATTGTAATCCTACTACCTTGGCTCCTGCTCTTTGTTCCTAGAAAAATCCAATCAGTCAAAGTGTTTAGATATGATGACTATGACTTCATGTAACCAGCTTGCATTGATTTCTAAGACAAAAGTGGCACATTTCTGGGTGATCTGAAATACTAAAAATTTAGAGATTTGTATACCAGATAAAAGCACGAGGCAGGGGTAGGCCACGGGAAACATGGAGGAGATGCGTGGAAAGGGACATGAGAGAAATGAAGCTCACTTGGAACGAGCTTGGAAGGATGGCTCAGGACAGAGATAAATGGAAGGAGCTTGTATGTGGCCTATACCCTGCCAGGGGTGAAAGGCATTGATGATGATGATACCAGATAAAACACAATTTAGATGTAGACCGGTGTTTACGAGACAAAACAAATTGAGAAGACAAAAGTAGACCTACAGATAAAGCAAAATGTCAAAAAATCTCCACAATCAATAATTGTCATAAAATCATTTCTTGTATAATTCCTAAGACCTATAAACTTAAAGGTTTGAAATTATTTCATCCAGAAATACCAAAAGTAAATGACACACTCTCAAAGTTAGGACTGAAACATCCAAAAATTTTACATATGTACAAAAAAGATGGAAATTGGAGCAAAAAGGACAGACAAAAAGACGGACATTCGTCCAGCGTACACATAGTGCTGAGCTCAAGTTGAGTTGGAGGAAATGCCAATACCTGTCTTAACAATCACGATAAAATGACTGGGGGGTTTTTATTTTCCTCCCAGAGAAGAATAGGATCTTCTGTTCCAGGAAAGTAAGATAAGCATGAAGACGTAGTGGACATTATAATGTTTAGAATGCTGAGGCGCAACTCGTAGTTCAATCTTGATTTTTCTTCTTAATGTAGCTTTGGTGTTCTATGCCCACATGAACACAATTCAAATAATTTAGGAGGCAGACTTTGACGTTTGGATTCACCTATATTGAGTTTGTTTTAAAAAATGGTAATTGCTTTTGTTTGTTCATTTTTTCTCTGATAACAATCATTCATGCATTCTTCTGTCTTTGTCTCCCCCCCCCCCCCCCT